CATATGTTTTCCTAATCACTCATCACAAAGCACCCCCTTTCCTCGTCACGTGACACAAATAAAAGTGGTTCTCGACATAATTTGCCGCTCCCTTTGAAGTTTGCCGGCTAGCCTAACCATCTAATTCTATTAACCGTGCTTTGTCCAACGTAAATCAAAATGTCGCCGGTGGCGAGCGAAATGGTGAAGTGGAAAACGAACTTAAGTGTCGACATCTTACTGTTGTTATTGGCATGCAAGTTAATTTTGGCTTGGAAATAAGTATGAATGACACAAATTATTTAATATCTTCACAACATTTACCGTTCAGAATTAATACATTATGCTGATATTTGTGTCATTCAGACTTCCGAGCCAAACTGAACTGAAGGTCATCGGACATCACATCATACATATGTCCTACCCAAACTCAAAGTCATTGGACATTTTGTCAGACGGCGCTGTAAAAGATATTTTAAGGCCTGTCTGCACTACTAAAGTGTAGGTGAGCTAAAAATGATTTTCAATCAGCTTGAACAGTACCGTAGGCTCTTTGCAGTTGGAGAGCCGAGGTCAAGAAATTTTAAGGGCCTTTGTTGCTTTGGGGCCCATTTTGAGCTGGGGGTCCGGGGCAAAGTGCCCCTCTTGCCCCCCATGTCTTGGCAGGCCTGTGGAGAGCTGTGGGATTTGTAAACAAAGGACTAAGACAAAACACAAAATTTTTCTTGCCTTTCAAATATTGTTATGCAAAGAGTCTATTTCAGGGCTTATGCCTGTATTCTAAAAGCTCACTCACACTCAAAGAGTGGAGGTTCAATCTGAGATTCCCTGAGTGTCAGTGCTGTTTTTGAATAGCTGGAGGGTGTAGTCACATAGTAAGGTGCGACTCTAACCCTCCAGCTATTCAAAAATAGCACTGACACCCAAGGGAAGCTCAGATTGAAACTTCACTCTTTGAGTGCGAGTGAGATTTTAGAAAATATACTGGCGTTAGTCTTAAATATTGGGGTGGTATAGTGAAAAAAGACACTTAATTTGCACGTTTGCTGGATGGCAAGGCAAGGGGATGTAGTGATATAGTGGAAAGAAAATTTCACAATAAAAGTCGGACAAGGAACTTGATTACATTTTAAACTCGTACTTTGCAACTGACAGTTTCTGGTGTCATGTTAGTCATTGCATATTACATTCAGACTGAACAATTCTTGGTGTGCAATTTTTGTCATCACTGCCATGTTGGATGAATTTCGCGTAGGATTTTCTAGGTTTGCAATTGAAATATTTTTGTCTTTTGTATCCCTTGCATGGTTGCACACCACCAATTCTCGGTTTTCATTTTGTTCACATCACGTGGGGGTCAAGGATCTGTGTCAAGGATAAAGGATGGCTTTTATGTTGTTTACATTGTTTTATATTGGCTTTTATAAATAATAGTCGGAGAACTCATTTACATGTTACTGTTTGCTCTATGTGTATATACATTTCAAGCGGGAAATTATTTCTGAAGTGAATACTAGATTTAATACATAAATCATGTCGTTCATACTGAGTTTGGGGGTCTTCTTCTGATTTCCTAAATCAGTCATTGATAAGTAAGGCCTAATTGAGGCAAATACAGTCTGCAGAGGTCGTAGCCTGAAGACTCCGAAGGCTGCATTTGGATAAAAGCCGATGTTTGAGGCGATTAACTACCTGTAGCTTATATGTCAGACAACGAAACAGCTGGATTGGTAAAACTTCTTCTTGCAAGCATATTCATAAGCTTTGCTCTAATATGTGGTTCTTTGATATGCTTTTTATTGCAAGGTGTTTTACTACGAAGATCTTTTTCTTGGAAACATCGCATTTATAACGTATACTGTTTTTTATGTATAGCCAATTGACCATTCCATGGAAAGGTTTTATTGCAGATGTCCAGGGGCGGATCTAGGGATTTAAACAATGATAGCGCAGGCATATGTGAATCAGGCTTTCCCGATGCAAATAATGCTAAAATGAACGAATACAAAGCGATTTATTGTGTTGTTTGCGGGTTTCGACCACTGTAGTATCAGATTAGTGGCTACGTCATAGACTCGAATCCGTGATGTTGACGGTGTTTGAAGAACAATTATAGCAATATTGATGACCCAGTGGGAAAGTCCCAACATGTATAGACAAAATACAGATGGCGTCGATGATGTAACGGCAAGTTCTTTCAGATTCCTGGCCAAATAGGTGAAAATGTCGACAAATATATACACTAAAGAGGAGCTGGGATACTTTAGGTTAGCCAAAGGTGTTATAAATCATTCTACTGCTGCCCTGAGAAAAGTATTTAAGCAAGAATGGAACTATCTTTATCCTCTTACGCCATGGCGAAATGACGGAACGAGTGGATCGCAGATGCTTGCCAAAGAACAACCTTCATCGCGTTTGTATGATCCGAAATTTGCGAAAGATTACCAAGCCATAAAGGATCATTTGCGGCATGGAGACATGGAGCGATGGGATGTAACGACGTTGGTTTTTGCCTTGCTCTACTCGTACGCTTTGAGCGGAATACGGAATGATAGCCGACATTGGAGAAGGGTAAAAAATGCTATACATGAAATAAAGGGGATCAGAAACACGGTGCTCTCACATGCTTGTAAAGCGTCAATTGCTCACAGCACCTTCATGAGAATCTTCGGTATTTTAGAACGAGCCGTGGAAGACTTGTTGACAACGTCAGATCCTTTGGTCGGAAAATTGAAAGCGTTGCGAACAGAGACTGAATTCGTTACAGACGATCTTGTCAAGTATAAGAAATTGCTTCAGGAAGATCACAACAGTTTACTCTTACTTGATAAACATCTCGAAAGATTAGAATGCAAAATGAACATATCTATCCCTAAAAGTGAGGCAAGAAATAAACATGCCAGGTCAAGCGCTGCGACATCCAAAAACAGCGAAATCATTTCAAATTTTTGTCGTCGAGTTGACAGACTAGAACGTGAATTGCCAAGCCCTGTTGACTCGGTACCAGGGCCCTTTAGACCGACTATTTTCCATAGAGCAAGATATATTCGGTTGATGAATAAATCAAGTTTTATGGCAAGCAATTTTCGTTGGGAGGAACTTGGCAATTTTCTTCAGGGATTTAACGATAGTGTAGATATGCAGATATGTGCTGGTATTCAATCAGCTCTAGCACTTAGTCATCGGTCAAGAAAGGACGAATGTTTTGAAGTTCTGAATCGTTTGATTCCAAAGGCTCTCTTGGCCAAACAGTATGGGTAAGTAAGTAGAATAGACAACTTGCATGTTAGACTAATTTTAGATCTAGGAAAAAAAAGTAAATTCCCCTAAAGAACTTATTAAAATTAGTAAAATTGCAAAATTGTGTTACGAAATGTTGTAAAATACGGAAAATATAGCCTTGCGAAGTTCACATATTTTGTATATGTTTGTATTACGTGCGGAAATTGTTACCATTTTTGAGCCGAAAATGGTAACAATTTCCGCACGTAATACAAACATATACAAACTTTGCAAGACTATATTTTCCAAGCTTTACAACATTTCGCAACC